GTTTCATTGGTACTTATCAAATCTTTTATAAAAATTTTGCCTTATAATGTACAAATTGCAGTCAACTTCCCAGACTATCTATCATTTCAGAAACTAGAATTTGTGTTTGTGAGTAAGGGTATAAGTACTTTTTCTTTCTTTTCTTTTTTCTTAGGGAAAACTGACCCCATTCCCAGTTCCAGCTTGGTGCTATTACACTACTTGAAAGCTTAGCTCCTATGAATTAAATTTGGACCATGGTACAGCATCGAAGGTGGGTCATCACTGTGCCAGAAGAGAAGCATCCTTATGGAAAGACCCATACTGTAACCCAGAGAACTGCTGAGGGAGGTGGGAACCACGAAGTCTTGAGGCAAGTTGAAGCCTTCAGATCAAATAACCCTGTGAATGTCCCTACCTTTGAGTTTTTCCTTGTTTCAGCAATCTTCTTTCTCATTTCAGTGGTCTTGACTTGATTTTTCTATTATTTGTACCATCACCAGTGCTGATACACTAACTTTCCATATATTAATTTTATACTTTTTGTCATCTTGTCACTGACATAAGGGATGCAAATTATTTGTGACAAATAATATAGTTTCCTCATGGCATCAGAGCTATGTACAACATTCTACTACTTGAATATTTAAATTCAAAATTATTTTTTCCAATGGAATTTCTTTTATTACTAATATCATAGCTTATGTGGAAATCAATGTTTTAAAATCTCTGTTGCAGTTCAGATGCCACCTAAGCAATTCTGAGCCTGGGGAATACAAGATTCCAGGAAAAATGCAGCCCTATAGCAAAAACCTACTAACAAGAGCAGAGAGCTGTAGTCACACCATGCACATTTATGCAAAGTCCACTTCTTTAAAGAGTATAAGCAAAGTAACATTATTGAATATTATTTGGAAATAGTGACTTTAATGTAATTTTATTAAAGTAAATTTTGAAATAATCATTAAAAATATGACATTAAATAAAGTGGTCAAGAGAACAAATAACCATAATTAAATAGTTCAATATCTCATATAAACAATATTTGTATTCAGGTGAATCATGGAAACATTTTCCAACTCAACTGAGTGGCTATTGCATGTATTTTTAAGCTTCTCACTGTAGTGATCATTCATTTTTGCTGATAATTTTGCAAGAGATCTTAAGAAAATGGTAGTTTCCAAAAGCAATTGGTGTATACCTGGGAATACTATGATATGCTGTCAGTACATAATACCTGACACACACAACTTAAAGGAGGAGAGGTTGATTTTGGCTCACAGCTTGTAGAGACTTCAGCTTATGGTTGGTTGGCCCCAAAGCAGCATTTCATGGCACAGGGCCGTGGCTGAAGAGCATTGCTCTTTGCAGGGCAATGAGAAGCAAAAAGAAGGTGAAGAGGACGATAGCAGAGAGACAAATGCTTGTAGGTTGGACCCCCAGGGATCCACCTCCTCTGATCAGGCTTCATAACTCAATATCACATTGAGCCAGTGGATTATTCCACAGATACATATCATGCCCACATAATCCAACCACTTCCCCAAAGCCTTACCTAGAGCTCATGAGGCCTTGTGGAGACATGAGATAGGGACCATAATGCATACTTAATATATTCACAATTTATTTTGATTATTTGATTAGCATGTTCTTCTCACTTATTCTTACTATTAGGAATAAGGTGTGGTTAATTATAGGCCATTTAATTACAGTGAGGCAGCACTACTAAGCTTTGCCATGTAGTTTTATTTTACTTGTTACTGTTACCTATGTTATACCATTTTTGATGATGATTAGATGCTCTTAAAAGAAAATAAAGTAAACCACAGTAGGTGATATGAATTTACTACTAACCTTTATGGTAAAAAATTAAATAAAGATAATACTTAGTGGAAAATATGAGCAAACTAAATAAAATATTTGGAACAGTTTTAAATATACAGCTTCAAAATATATAGCTTATATAGTTATCTGTTTCCTTTTCTCGAGACTCACATTCTGAATTGATTCTATTAGTCATAAAATTAGCAAAATGATTATGATTCCCTCACCCACCAATCCCATGATTTAACATTCTGATTGGGGGATCAGATAGGCCTTTTTAGTCTACCCTGTTTTCTCCAGAATGTCCTTCATCTTGTTTTTTCCTCTAAGTCTGTTCAGGCTTGCTCTGTAGAGCCAGTTTCTCCCCTACTGCTCCCTTTCACTTCCTCAAAAAAAAAAAAGCATATAAAAATCATTCTGTTTGAGATAGTGAGATAGTGATTCCTCATTCCCCACCTACTAAAGCAAGAAATTCCCAGGAGAACAGGGGATAAAGATGTCCTGTAAGCCCTGTGCACAGGGTCTCCCTCTTTACTCCAGACACACTATAACTTGAGTCCAATCTTACAGACAAGAGCTGAGAGAGGATGGAAGCTGCCATCTCTCTGGAGCCAGACTAAAGGGGCTGAACATCTGAGTGGCATCTCTCCTTTGACTGGGGGAGAAGTGTCTAGGTACAATCAAGAGAGCATTTGCACTGTCTCCATCACTAGATTTGGACTCAGAGATAGATTATAAGCCCATAGAACAGAAGATCTGGGCAGGCATGGAGGCACGTCCCTACAATGCAGCCCTCTTGGTGGGCAACTTCAAGCCCAATTTGAGCAACTTAGTGACTTAGCCAGTCTTTGTCTATCTAGAAATAAAAAATAAAAAATGGATTGGAATATAGCTTATTGAAAAGACTGTTGGTTCAAATCCCATTATCAACACACACACACACACACACACACACACACACACACACACACACGTAAATACTACGAGGAAAATAAGGATGGTACCTATTTTCTCAGGAAATCTATTTGAATGTAAGAGATTTCTCAATAGGAAATTAATACTGCTTAATGCCTAATAAGTTTTCCCAAAGGTACATATACGGGAATGTATTAGATAATACCTTGATATAACTTTATAAATAGAAACCACAGTCAAGGCTTTAGAAATCAGATGATGAGTTATATAGTTCTTGGTAGTTATCTGTTTCTATGTATTATAGACTGACAATAGAATATAACAAAGAGAAAACAAGTCATAGAGCCTGCTTTCCTGCTTTAGTTGTTGTCAGTAAATGCATTGCTTTGGGAAAGCCAGAGCCAGTGTGAGCCACAGCTCCCTCATTTATGAAATGAAAATGAGAAATTCAGTCAGGATGATCCTGAAGATCCTTCAAAAAATTCCATGCCTTTCCCATTTCTCCTAGCTTTTCTGAAACAATAGACATCACCCCAATTTTTCTTATCCCATTTGATGGCAGTGGTCATGTTACTATTCCTATCTAGCTAAGATTTTTTTCTAAATCGCTTGTCTTCTGAAGATTAGCAGCTCTCCCATTATCTCCACAACATGCTCGAGGAAGTTGATCATATCAAACAATAATGAGTCACCACAGTGACTCTAAATGAGGAGAAACTAAGTACCCAGCAGCGATATTAGATACACAATAGTCTCCAGAAGGATAAAAGTAAGCCTGGCAAATCTTTGTTTTGTACCTGCCTCCAATACATTTGTGAAGGAGTGTTAATGAAAAATGAGAGTGATGTTCCCATCACACATTTTTGGATTACTGTGCAGCAACATCAATTGGAAACCTAATGAAACAGAGACCACCTACAGAGGAGGGATATTGTGTTCCTCTGTGTGCCTGCATCCAATTTACCAACTGACCGTATGGAACAAGCTGCCTGTTTGTTTGAGTCCCTGTTTGATTGATCATACATTTAACATTGATAATTGGCAATGCCAATTTCTACTACCTTTCACCAGTAGAATGTGGTAGTACTTTTACTATTGGGTGATAATGTAGGTAGCAAACATCTCTATTAAGAGTGATTTCAAAATTCCAGCACTGGTATTGTCTAATGAAATTGGGCTGACAAAATTAGACGAGATTCCACAAAAACTAACTGATCATTTCTCTGCCTATTTTTTTTCCATTGACTAAAGCAATATGCTGTGCATTTATCAAAAAGAACTTCTCCTAATCAAGTAAATAACAATAAGAAACCTAGTAGGTAAGCTCCCACTAAGCATAGGAAGGACTATATAAAAAGGAAAGCTGATGTTCCAAATGGAAGTGTTTTGTTCTTTGTTTTTGCACCTGTTCGAACTGGCACCTGGTATAAGGCTTGTAACTAGTCAAACATTACTACTTTCTGTCAAGCTGGGTGGGAGAAACAAAAGAAAACAGAGTATAGTGTAAAATATTAGTTCATCCTTGTGGGTTATTTTGTTTCTACATTTTCCTTGTCAGGCTTCCTACCTATGCTTATCATCAACTGCAGTTTCTTCTTCTTCTTCTTCTTCTTTAAAAATCTGACTTCTAGAAGCCATCTGGCATTCTAATTCCCACATTACAGTTCTCCATAAGTCACTCTTCTGACTGCCTGTCAGGTTATAGAATTAAGTTTAAGGCTTTCTTAATTCATTGTGAGGTTCTTCATGGATTTGATCTATTATATCTTCCTGAGCTTGTCCAGTTGTGGATTCCTGCATGTGATTTATGTCTAGCAGGTGTTAGTTTGCTAGAGCTTTCTAAATATTGGCTTCATAATGCAAGGGAGGCTTGGGGAGATACTAGGGCTCAAACTGTATTGCTACACAACTGGAGAATGGCTTCCCTGCTGAAATCCAATGTTGAAGAACTATTTATTAAGCTTAAAAGATGGATGCTTCAATATATGGAAAAGTAAAGAGACTCAAATTCCATCACCAACTCACCAGTTGCATCTAGGCACTCTGTGGCTCTCACAATACAGCATATCATTTAACAAGTAAGATAAGTAGGTGAGTTTTAAAATACAGATCTACCTTTTGCTCTGAATTGCAGTGAATTTGAGTGGCCTTTTTTTGGTAACTTTTAAACTAAATTGTTTTAATTATTTTGTGTAAAATTTAAGTGCCAATGGAAATCTAGGTATTATTATGGTGAGGTAAAAAGTCTTCTTTTAAAAAGTGTGCATAGGGAACCTGTTGGGGTGGCTCGCAATACTTAGCAGGGTTGCACGAGGATAGTTGCTAAGTTACGAGACCTTTTGGTCAACTGCCACTTTGGCTAAAGCAATTTTGCCAGCCATGCCTCATATTGACAACGATGTGAAACTGGATTTCAAGGATGTTCTGTTGAGGCCCAAACGCAGCACCCTCAAGTCTAGAAGCAAGGTGGATCTCACAAGATCCTTTTCATTTTGGAATTCAAAGCAGATGTACAGTGGCATCCCCATCATTGCTGCCAATATGAATACTGTGGGCACCTTTGAGATGGCCAAGGTTCTCTGCAAGTTCTCCCTCTTCACTGCTGTCCATAAACACTACAGCCTTGATCAATGGCAAGAGTTCGCTAGCCAGAATCCTGACTGTCTTGAGTATCTCGCTGCCAGCTCAGGCACAGGCTCTTCTGACTTTGAGCAGCTGGAACAGATCCTGGAAACTATTCCTGAGGTGAAATATATATGCCTGGATGTAGCAAATGGTTACTCTGAACACTTTGTTGAATTTGTAAAGAATGTCCGGAAGCGCTTCCCCCAACACACTATCATGGCTGGGAATGTGGTAACAGGAGAGATGGTGGAAGAGCTGATTCTTTCTGGAGCTGACATCATCAAGGTGGGAATTGGGCCAGGCTCCGTGTGTACAACCCGGAAGAAAACTGGAGTGGGATACCCACAGCTCAGTGCCGTGATGGAGTGTGCTGATGCTGCTCATGGCCTCAAAGGCCACATCATTTCAGATGGAGGCTGTAGCTGTCCTGGTGATGTGGCCAAAGCTTTTGGGGCAGGGGCTGATTTTGTGATGCTGGGTGGCATGCTGGCTGGACACAGCGGAATCCGGTCTACATGTACTTATGTGGGAGCAGCCAAGTTGAAAGAGTTGAGCCGGAGAACTACCTTCATCCAAGTCACCCAGCAAATGAATCCCATCTTTGGTGATACAAGCTAGATCTGAGCAGCTCTGCCCACTGCAGGATTGGCACTCCACTGCAGGGCAACCCAACTGGTTTGTTGCTGTTCCCAGCTACTCTGTTCAATGTATGACTTTGTGACATCACCTCACTCTTGAGGGATCCTGCAGTAACTAGTTCTTTTATCTGCACACAAAATGCCAAGGGTACTACTCACTGGGGCAGAAGCTAGGAAGAGGACAGAATGAGGAAATGAGGAACTTTGAAGTCTTAATCACCTGGAAGCAGTAAAAAAAAAAAAAAAATGACCAGTATTCTATTTACATGGGAACCTGGGGATCCAGAATCCTGAAGATTAAAAGATACTGATTTGATGTGGGTTTTATATGGCCTTCATCTGCAAGAAGCAAGCTTTTACAATCATGTTTTATTAATTAGTCTCATTAAATGGCATCCTTGGGTGTCTGAAGCTCAAAACTGTTGATATATTAAAACACTTCAATAAAGAAAGCGCTCATAGACTTGAAAAAAAATAAAAAATAAAAAGTGTGCATACTGAAACATTTAAAATACATTGGTAAAAATTTGGAAGGTATATAAAGTATTGGAGAAAACACAGAAGGAGAAATAAAGTTCATTTAATAGTGAATGTCCACATAACTGTTTGGCATTTATTACAAGCTCTCATCTCTTATGTTAAATGCATTTTAATGAAGGTATTAGGTTGTGATACGGGAATTTCCATAGTTATCATGCTAGTAAGATATTTGGCTTATCTTTGTGAGAATGGCATAACAATGTATAAATGTAACAATGTAATAAAATCTTCAGCTTCTTATTGGTCATACATGTATCACATATGTAATGAACTTCAGTTTTAGCCACTGTTCCACAATTATTTTTGACCTGTTTCATAGTTATTCACATACTTTCAACACAGAAGGATATCATTTCATTTGTATTATAGATGAAGAATCTAACATAAAGGGAGATTAAGGTACAAATGTATGATACAATACATATATTCATACTGAGAGTAAATCCAATTAAAATGCAGGGCTCTGTGTTCCTAGGCCACTGCTCAACCCCTTGAGCAATGCCACTTTGCACTATAAATTGTTCCTATAATTTTAAAAATTTATAATATCCTCATTAATTTGCATATCTGAGTATGAATTACAGACATTAAAATGGGCTACAACTCCTCATCAACCAATTACTAATAAGAAGCACCTAAAAGGTCAAAGTCAGGAAGAACCAAAGTAAACAGAAATGTGTGCACCTTTTGCTAAACATCAGGCATACAAGTCAACGTACATTCATGATTTTTTGTCATGAGGAGATTGCTCAACTGTTGGCATGTTCACAGTGTCTGACCTTGATTTATCAAGATAAATCAAAATGATATTTTAAAAATAATTTTCATGTGATTCAGGTATGATATGATCATCAAACACCAAGCACTAGGGGAAAGAATTTATTTACACACAAGTCAATAAAATGATATAGTATAATTTGTCAATTTGAAATTGGTACAATTAGAACAATAAAATAAGTAACACAGAAAAAGAATCCTACAGCATTACAACATGTATCAAATATGGACTAAATACAACCTGGTTTGTGAATTTCTTCATTTCTAAGGACATTGCTCCTACTATTAAGACATTTTTCAGAATTTTCCACCTTCAACTGTGATCTCATTCTATGTCCTATTATCACTCTATTGTTTGGCTTCTCACAGTCAGTCTCAGTGTTGCAATTAACCACAGAGCATCCATAAAAATCTTAACTCAAAAAAATTGTCAAAGGGACTTGGAAAATTCAGAATCCTTTTTAAAGCACTGGCCATCACCCTGAAAAACGTAATTAAAGTATGTGAGACTCTAATGTGTATCTGTTACATAGTCCTTTTTGTCTAGCATTGAAGAATGAGTACCTATAGCAGAGTACAATGAGAAAACACTTTTATTCTCTAGTCCGTGACAATAAAGCATAACTCCTTAGGGAGGGCCTTTTCCCGTATGGTATTCACACCACCTTTCTTTTAAATGCTGCTAAGTGTGAAATTAGTGTTGTCCCTCAAAGTGCAGAAGATTAATTGTTAGTAATTGAACACAGTTTGGGGGCTAATTATATAAAATTGATATAAAAACAGTACTACTAATTTGATTAAGTTTTATAGTTTGCATTTAGTTTTCAAATTACATGAGTTGAAAGGCAGTAATAAGAAAATATAAATCTGTTCAAAGCTGCTAAAGCAAATTAAGGTTTATTAGTTTGGGAAAGAGAAGTAAGTCAAATATAGGCAAAGCATAAAATTATTCAAAATTACGATAGATTAAAATATCAAGTATTCTAAGACTGTATATGTTGACCACATATTGCGGAGGTAACCTGGATTTCCCTATACTCTTGGCTGGCTAAGACAGAGTAAGCCAGGCTACTAGGACCATTTGTGAAAATGCAATTTCTAGATTGAGGATGTAGCTCAGTGTTAGAATACTTTCCTTGTAGGCATGAGGTACAGAGTTAGATGCCTAGCACCACAAAACAAAGCATAAGTTATAATTATTTGGCTTAAATTTGGGGAAAACCATGTAATTCATTGCCTTCATTATTTGCAATTTATCTTTAATTTTTCAGCTAAATATTCTGCTGTCTACAATATGGAGTGGTTGCTGTGTCCCTTATTTCTCTAAGTATAGGTAAAATCCTAAACTTTATACCAAACAAACAAAAGGCCATCAAAGATCAACAAAAGAAGTTATGCAAGCTAGAAATGTTGTGCTCCAAAGGAACTACATTATAGTAAGTGCTTTGGGCTTTCTTTATGGCTTATTATGTTTGCTGTCTGTCACTGTGACAAATTATCTGAGAAAAACAACTATTGGAGGAAATGTTTATTTTGGGTCACAGTTTCAGAGTTTCAGCTCACAGTAAGCTGGCTCCATATTTTTAG